TAAAAACACGTTCGCTGCCTCTTCTCGGCAAAGTGCTAACTGACGTTGACATTCAAAGTCAAAATGTTCCAGAGGCTGCCAAGCTTGCTAAATGCAGAAACCCGCAGGACTTTCGCGGACAAAGGATGGCGATGAATTCATGAACTTGATGATTTCACACGGACATATTCATTTATCGTGTATGTATCTATATGCCGAACATTAATTACTATTCACCACCTCTCCCCGCCTCTCCCATATCACGCATGACGTCATAAACCCCTTGTCATCACCTCTGCCACGTCTCTTGACGTCATCGCGCCCTCTGATCCGCGCCTCACCCGTGTCACCCGTGTCACGTGATGTCATCAACACCCCCCCCCTCTCATCATCACCCCTGCGTCTCGTGACGTCGCCGCTCTCTCCTCACCACCTCACCCCAATCTGGCGTGACGTCTATACTCCTCCAAACACCCCAGCGCGTCTGACGTCATCAATGGCCTCCCCACCCTCAGCCCAATCTCGCATGACGTCATGCCGGTGCGTTACACACAGAGACAAAGACAAAGGTTCCCCGCATAGCCTTGAACAGACTGTTAGGGCAAGTGCTGTTAGCGAGTAGCACCTATGAAGGCCGGAACGTCACACGAGGGTGTGGGGTGGCCAGCACCACGCCTGAGCGTCTTTGTCTCCCCAGTCGCGATGCTTACACATCGCACCAGGGACTCATTTGAGGCCGAGTCGACCTAGGGGATGCCCATAACCGGTTCAGATAATCGTCACCGATGGTATTGGTGGCCATGAGCGCGCTAACCACTACACTACCTGCTACACTACCCGCATGCATGCACAAACAAGCGTATTTGTTACGGTACAAGGCGGAATTCACGGGCACCGCCGCCGTGACGAGCGACGGCGCAGCATCCTAACGGACTCAAGCGGGGTGCCGTCTAGCTGCGGCAGCGGCGGCGGAGGATCTAGTAACATTCACTTCGCGCGTTTGCCGCTTCTTTGACGTTCGCCAGAAGCCTTCTGAGAAATAAGATATCCACCACGTTTTGAGCGCTAATGCAAACTCATTTTTCATTTAAAGGCAGGACCTTTGGGGAAAAATTAACATCCAAACAGAATTTTCGGATCTTTAGTTTTTTCAATTAATCACCCGGCACGTGCCGCAATCCAGGACACAATTATAACAATTATAACAATCATCTACCCATTTAATTACCCTGCGTGAAGCATTCTCAACGTAATTAGGCGGAAGGTCCCAAACGACACGGCGCGATGAAGCGGGGAGGGGAATGCCGCCTGCCCACGTGCGAACGCAATTCCTTCTTCTTCTTCTGTAACGGATAAAAGTACCATTCGGGGTGTACCTGAGGAACCGGTGGCGGTGGCGCCAGTTCCTGCAGATGCCCACCATGCGCCTGCAGGCTCTCCGCCAGCGCCCACGTCGACGTCCAAGACGCACGCTCGGCCGGCGATTTGAAATGTGGGGGGTTCACGTGGGGGGGGGGGGGCCCGTCAAACAACCGCGGGAGCCGCCGCCGCCGCTCGGCATCCCGCCGGGGCGGTTCCTGAGCCAGCCGGGGTGGGGGGGGGGGCGCACGTGCCCCATCGCAGACTTCAGCCTCTCCGTCGGGATAGGGAGAGGGACCGTGAAGACGGCGAGCCGCACAAGAGCCCAAGCAGATGAGGGTTCCCTCTCTCGTTCTCTCTCTGTCATTCTCTATCTCTCGTTTTCTCTCTCTCTCTTGTTCTCTCTCTGTCATTCTCTGTCTCTCGTTCTTTCGTTCTCTCTCTGTCATTCTGTCTCTCGTTATTTCGTTCTCTCTCTGTCATTCTCTGTCTCTCATTCTCTCTCTCTCTCGTTCTCTCTCTCTGTCATTCTCTCTTTCTCGTTCTCTCTCTGTCATTCTCTGTCTCTCGTTCTTTCGTTCTCTCTCTGTCATTCTGTCTCTCGTTCTTTCGTTCTCTCTCTGTCATTCTCTGTCTCTCATTCTCTCTCTCTCGTTCTCTCTCTGTCATTCTCTCTCTCTCGTTCTCTCTCCCGAAATGAATCCGCTGTACAAACGCGACCGCTGTTGACTTTTCCCAGTACGGAACGCGTTTTTTTTTTTATTAAAATGCGAGTCTCCCTTGAGATTTAAACCTCTTGTCTTTGTAGGTGCTTACCTGCTCCGATATAAAGGTTTGCGTTTTTTAAAAATCTATCTTATTTCATTGACCTGAAAGGCATAATTCGACATCATCAGCCACAATCAATCTACTGCTGGATGAAGTCCCTCGTAATCCGCCGCCACACCTCAGGGGTGATGCAACCCTCCACACTAACACCTGCACACGTGAGCCGATTTCACGATAACATCATCAGTCAGTCTCCTAAATTGAACGAGATGGATTAAATAAACCCATCTGGGACGAGCAAAACATTGCATCGTGCGCAGAAGCGGACTGGGTCAAACGGATATCAAAACTGATTTGAATACCCGCATTGGTATACACGACGAGGTCCTTACGCGCTGCCGCCTCATCGTCCGAGCCTAGAAAAACGGCTTTGCGAGGAACACCAAGAGGCTCAGCCTGATCTGAGCGACCACGAGCATCGCACGCCGTGCCGCTTACTTGGGGGATAAAGCGGGCGGGCGTCATCGGCTTACGTTAAACGCCTGCGTGCTCACCAGCTTCACAAAACAGTGCGGCGTGAATTATTTATCTTGCCAACGTGCAGAGGCGATGTGGGAACGCGTTGCGAGCGAGATGCAGTGGTGTTGAGACATCAGGCTATTGTTCCAGCGTAAAGGAAGTCGTCATTAAATCATAACCGAGGCGCTGGAAACTGGCTCGTGTAAGAACGATCGCGATCGTGGCGATGATGGTTGTGGTAATGTTGACGACGGCGGTTGTGGTTATGATGACAATGATGATGTGTTGCTGCTTGTCATAATTATGTTGATAATAATGGCAATTATTTTTCGATTTAAAGCTTTCGTGACTGCAGGGATTCATATTCTTGGTTCTTTCGGTAAAGTCACGTAGAAGGGAAATAATAAAAATAAAACATAATAAAATAAAATTCTCACGACGTTTCGGCCACAACGCAAGCAGGACGGCTGCTTGCGTTGTGGCCGAAACGTCGTGAGAATTAAATTAAAATTTTTATTATTTTATTAGTTCCCTTCTACGTGACTTTACCGAAAGAACCAAGAAAAATGGCAAGTATGATTACGATGAGAATGCCACTGCTGGTGATGCTGATGATGATTGCGATTATGAGGATATTGACGACGATGATGATGCTGCTGCTGTTGCCGCTGCTGTTGATAATCATTTCAATGCTGCTGCTGCTGTTGATGATAATTATGATTTAATTGCTGACAAAGATGTTCTTGCTGCCGATGATTACTAAACAGAAGTCCCTCTCAACGTTCATGTTGGAGGATCAGGCTCAAAAGCCATTTCAACGGCACGCTACATTCCTGTGCATGCTGCAGTGCCCACTAGGACTGAAGCACACACAAACATGTACAACGCGTCAAGACAGCCAGGACCAGCGCAACCGGGCATGAGAGGTGCGCCGAGATAACCCCACGTAGACCCGAGTCGTCGGCTGACGCTACCGACACCTGGAAAAACACTGGGCAGCCTTTGCTCGCCGCCACGAGCTCACCCCGTTAGCCATGCACGTCGCGACATTTGCCCAACATTTAGAGCCCGAATTGAGGGCCACTCCCCACACAAGAGGGTAGGAGGTGAACAGCGGTATACGGAAGAGGGGTTACAGGAAGACGCGGGCCCTCAACAAATAAATGCACGAATGAACACGCACACAGCTCTCGCTCCCATCCTGTGGACGCGTTGCTAGGCTGCACGTCCCTCGCTGTCCCACAAAGAGCTTGGAGTTTCGCGATAGAAAACGAGGGGATCAGGGCGTGCCCCACCATGGCACGCGAGCGACAACGCCGCATTGGCGACGAGATTTCAACGTGCGGGGGCAGACATCACAGTGACGTCACCCGTTGTCGTCATCGTCACCATCCCCTTTACTGGAAGGGTCATGTGGCACGCCGGTCATGCTTTGGCCAATCGACTCTCTCCACCTTCCGGGGTCGACTGTGATCCACGACCTTGGCCAACCTCTGTCTTCCTCAACCTTTCCACTGGGCCCTGCAGGAAGATGCCTGAAAGTCCCTCTGGGTCCTCAATGCTGTCAGACCAGTCCTCCTTCTCTTTGCCGTTGCCAAAAGTGATTCTGGTACCCCGATCTTTATCGTCGCCTGGTGATGTCAAAGTGCCACAGAGGCACGACTGACAGTGATGGACTCGTTTGGGGGAGCCTGGGACGTACACTCGCACACACACAACGTAGGCATATTCTTGGTTCTTTCGGTAAAGTCACGTAGAAGGTTACTTTACCGAAAGAACCAAGAATATGAATCCCTGCAGTCACGAAAGCTTTAAATCGAAATACAACGTAGGCAGTTTCTATTTTGTGGGCTGCATCTTACGTTAAAAGAGGACCACAAATATACGTAAGCAAAATGCGGCGGATCACACTCCACGGAAGGAGTTAAAAGGCGCGCGATGCCGGAATCTTAACAGCCGTCATTCTCGGCACCCTGGGTCAGGACCCTCATTTCACAGCAGCGATCACTTCCCACTGCCTACGTCCCCACGAGCCCAGCCGTGCCGAGGCAGCAGCACCCGCAGAGCGCGGGACAAGCGCCGGCGAGCGATCGGCAACACAAAACAAAACATCATTCCCGATCTGGCCGAATCAGCAGTTGTTTTATATGGCCTGGCTCTCTCATGGGGAGGTTGTCCATTATCAAAGGGCCTCTGGGTTTTCCTTGGCAATCATGCATTTGTCTGCAACCAATCTACTTTTGTTTTGTTTGTTGTGTTCATTCGATTTGTTTCTTTTTTTATTACTCGAATGTTCCGCTAGTCACGTGTACATCTACTTATTTATTTGTATGCCCGTCCGCGAGCCACGTGCCGCGCGCGAGCGGGCCACTCACCCTTCGAGCCGCACGTCGGGCAGGGAGCGGTTGAGCGCGATGCGGTCGCTCGCCATGACGTTGAACTGATTGATTTTAAAGAGCTCCCTCATCCGCTCCTCCTGCGCCTTGGGGATGACCACCGGCTTCCCCATCTCGCCGGGGCCCTCGCGCGCCCTCGAGATCACACCTGGGACGACAGGAGACACGCGGTGGGGGGGGGGGGGCGCACCGCCGTCACAAAACGAGCGCGCACCCCGGCGTGCGGTTTTAGCGGCGCGCGACAGCGAGCAGCCGAGCCGGCGACGGCGCACGTCGCTCGGTAACAAGGACAACGACAACGACGACGACAACGCTTGCGAGAGCGGCCTCGGGGGTCCGGCGGCGTGTCGAGCGTTCCATCTTTCGAGCCGCTGTCACCACGAGCTCTCCTCGGAGTCTCCCCCACCCACCCCGTTGGCAAGGCTGTGTCACAAATATGGGTGGAGCGGTGGCACGGTGGTTAGCGCACTGCTCTCTACCAACCAGACACCTGAACCTGTCCTCGGCACTCCCCTTCATCAAGAAACACGAGTTCGATTCCCGCTCATGCACCTCCAGTTGGCTATGTACGGTGCGAAAGGAGTTCAGCATACATACATCAACCCACAGTAACCGGAATGGTGAAGTATGTATGTTGTAGCCAACCGTGCTCATTGGAGATGCAGATAGGATGGCCAAAAAATATCCCTCCATGACCGACACAGCACGAGGGGTCTATCATCCAGCGGTGCACCGACAAAGAGCTGTAAATAAAATTTCGTAACAGAATACATTTGCTGGGCACGTGAGTAATTAAACATAATTACGTGATTAATAACATCTGTGCGTGCTTTCAATATCGCTTTCTAAAAGGCAGGACACCCCCCACTTCGCACGAATGGCAGAATGTGCTCCACGTCAATGCTAGATTTTATCACTTCACGTTGAAGTTGGCCGTCATAGGTGGTCGCGACCACGCTCTGGTTAGTGTACAACGCGGAGCAGTGCATACATTATCAGAGTTATGTTTTTTGTTTGCATTATGACTGCAGGTATTGTGGTCTATGCAAACATGACTCCTTATAAAAAAGGTGTCAGTTTTGTTGCCAGATAGAAGGGTAAAAAACCAATTATCATATTTTTTTACTGGCAAATGAGATTACAATGGTGTAAATGCTTACCCCGAGCTCTCATACTCTGATGGTGCATTGTCTTTTGAGTTGTGCGCCTTTTGGCGTCATCTGGTCCAACCCATGTGAGACTAGGCTCTAAAAAAAGCTGTCTCGGGTGTGGACCAATCAACTTCAAGGACAGTGCATACATTATCAGAGTTATGTTTTTTATTTGCATTATGACTGCAGGTATTGTGGTCTATGCAAACATGACTCCTTATAAAAAAGGTGTCAGTTTTGTTGCCAGATAGAAGGGTAAAAAAACAATTATCATATTTTTTACTGACAAATGAGGTTACAATGGTGTAAATGCTTACCCCGAGCTCTCATACTCTGATGGTGCATTGTCTTTGAGTTGTGCGCCTTTTGGCGTGTCGGTGACCAACCGAACGAACAAACTGCGAGCCGCACAGACGACTGGCGGGTGGGCATGCACCGAGGGAAGAAGGCGTTGCGGCGTTATTGAGGAAGTTGTGTTTCTAGCGGCCATGTGGCTGCACGTTTTTCGCGAAGTTCATGATGTTCATTCGCAAACCGATTCGTGTATCTGGCTACTGGCCGCAATGCAAATCGGACGCTCCTCTTGCGAGCGCTTCCGTCCCAACTTGCCTTCACGTTCACACAAACTACAACACGGAAAAAACCATGCCTACGCATTCAATCTGTAAACACTCCGGGAAGAATTAAATTTATCCGGACGGAAGATTGGGTGAAGACCCCGGGGACCGGCCTAGGACACGCTGGCAGGACTATGTCGCTCGGCTGGCCTGGGGACACCTGGGAATTCCCCCAGGAAGAGCTAGAGTCTGTCGCCAGGGAAAGGAGGTCTGGACCGCCACTACTCAACATGCTGTCGCCGCGACCCTCACCAGGACAAGTGGACTGAGAAAGCATGAAAAATGCCAGGTAGAAAAACGTCATCTGCATATTTACAACTGCGTCGTTCGTGCTCGAGTTGGTGGCTCCAAGTTCTGGCGAACCGTTCGCTCGATTAGGCCGGTTTTCAAGAGCTCCCTCGTTTGCCCCTCCTGGGCCTGGTTTGGGGACGGCCACCGGCTACCCCATCATTTCCCTGGGGCACCTCGCGTCGCTAGGACGATCCAGAGTAACTCGGCTTCGCGTCACAATTTCCTTCACGCTGGATCACCTTCGTGAGATTCACACACGGGGCAACAGAGCTAATGCGGACACGCGCTGAACCTTAGTTGGGGAAGCGTTGAAAAGTAATCACCGGGCGGAATATCCCACGACTTTGACGGCCGTGTGTTGTGTACACAAGTGACGGCAAACACGGCGGTTGATTAATTTTCTCCGCGACCAATAAGATCGCTGGAGATCTCTTTGAGAGATCTGAACTCGGAAGACGAGGCAATTAGCACGGCAAACACCGCGTGTCACGGCGGGATGGTGGAGATGCCGCATTAGCGCTTCCGCAAATTGGTGCCGTGTGGACATTGCGAGCAAATATTAATCACACAAAAATGTACTGCAAATATATAAACACAGATTTAAATTGCTCAAACCATTACCGGAATTAGGAAGGGAAAAAAAGATAAAGATTATATCTGTTGTCTGAGATTACGTTTGGCGGAATTATGCTCAGGACGTTTAAAAAAAAATAAACTTTATCGGGAAACAATTTTCAAAAAGCGGCGAGAATCCCACCGCAAGCTCTTAGGGATTAAATAAAAACGATTTCACATCCAGTGCGGAGCGTCAGATGTCCAATCTGTCCACCCTGCCCCAGCCTGCTCCACACAGCACAGGCAAGGGCCTCAAAGCTCACAACCTGCAACCTGCCGTAACCCCTCGCTCCTCGCATCCACCTGCCCCCCCCCCCCGCGCCCCCCCCCCAATCACGCCCACTTGCCCCCCCTCACGCTCACCTACCGCACCCCCCCATTTCCCACCTGCCCGGCCAAAGCGTCCCTCCCTGGTGGGTTCCACCTGATCGTTGAGTGGTGCTGTACATGCACCACTGCAGTATGCGCGCGTAAGCTGCGGGGTTATTGATGCCGCATTTTTGCACCCTTAACATTTACCCCGGGCTGAGAACAAGTGCCGATTGTTTTCGTCATAGTTTACCCGTGGTGAAATTGCTGTACTCAACAAAAGCTTCATTATTTGCGTGTGAGGTCATTAGTGGAAGGAAAAAAAATGAACGTCGAGAAAAAATGCAAATGTGAGCGTACTAATTTCACCGGCACTGTAATTATTTGTGGGGAAAAATGTAGCCGCACACTGTTATAAAATGGCAAGCAACGTGCATGATGGGTCTATATGTGATGGATACGTGCTGTGTGTGTGTGACTGTGTATTTCTACGTGTTTCTCTGTATTTTGGAGAGCGATGCTGCAGTGGTGAGCGTACTGCGCTATGAATTCGATTCCCACTCATGGCCAACATCAATGACGAATACTGTATCTGAACCAGTCCTGAGCCCCCCCCCCCCCCCCCTTCCAGGTCGAATCAGCCTTAAACGAGTACTTGGAGTGATATGTAAACATTAGCACTCGGGGAGACAAAGGTGGCCGAGTGTGGTGTTGACCACCCACCCAGTTTGCCGTCCCGGCTTTCGCAGCTGCTCGTCAAAAGCACATTGCCCCAACACTCTGTCAAAAGCTATTGTCTTTGTTTTTATGTAAATTTGTGTCAGTGGTGGTTCATTCATTGAGCACAGCTGTGATCTCTGGGATAATTTACCAGCCACGCCACACATCGCCGGTGCCAAGTGATATTTTAACGTGTCATGGGTCTCCCCAAGGTCAACTCGGCCTTAAATGAGTACTTGGTGTCAAAAACATCAGGGCTGGCCATACCTTTTTACGTGGCATACATGTCTTCATAGGAGCTCGCCAACTGAACTTGCAGTCCGCAAGACTAAACGATGACTCAATGTGTTGCGTGTGCCTGCATGTGCACGGCATGTGGACGTAACGATCCACTGCTAACGCAGCCGCAGCTGCTGGCAGCACAATGACTTTCGCCCTTTCACCTACGCAGTGAGACAGGTCAATAGCGGCAAGGCCTAACCCTAATCATATTTCTTTAAAAAATGTAATTCACTACCGAGCAACCACGGTTGCGTGCACACATTCTGCACTCCCAGGCCTGCGAACGCGACCTTTGACTGCGCGACCCCGAAACCCACGGCGTGCCGCGTGGCTCCCGCGGTCGGGGTCATCCTCGCGGGGACCCCGTCGCAACGGGCCAGGGGGGGGCGGGGGTAGGGGGGCAGCCAAGCGAGGGATCGTCACTCACCCGCCTTCACTCCGCTTCATTCCGCGCCGCAGCACAGCAGCCGGCCCTCTCTTTGATAATTGCCATTGATTGTGATAATCTACAGCCAAAATAATCCTTTGTTTTTCTATTTATCGATTGTTCGCTACAGCGGTGATATATGTAAGGAATTAAGAGCGCCATGCGAGGGTCAACGCTCCGCCATGTGTCCTGCGCGCACGTGCGACGTGACACGTGCCGTCTCCCAAGATGCGTCGCCAACTCTCGTCGCGCACGCTCCGTCAGTGGTGCCGGGAAGTGTGAAATGGGATGATATTAAAAGAGAGTGGTCTCGCACTCACACTTGTTAAAGTAACACCTTGCATCAACACGCTTATTTTATTGCAACGCGGAGACGGAGTCATCTTATTACGCGAGTGTAACGCACGTTCATTCCGCTACAGGGGCGTGAAGGAGAGTTCAGATTGGAGCGCTCACGATGGTTACGTGCGTTTTCTTAGTGGCCGCGAAAAGTCAGGTGCGTTAATTCACGCGGAAATTAGCAGAAATCGTGGCCAATAAACGTGGCTTGTGAAATACACGCAAAACTTGTATGTATGTATGTTGAACCTCTTTCGTACCGTACGTAGCCAACCGTACTAATTGAAGCCAGTGCAGCTAGCAGCTTTAGATATAGGAGTACGTACACAAAGACAAAGACTGTTAGGACAAGTGCTGTTAGCCAGAGCCTATGAAGGCCGGGATGGCAGACGAGGTG